AAAAAAAAAAAAAAGAAATGCTTTAAATTAAACACTAAATCCCTGATGATTGGAGTATCAAGATAATTATACACTAATAGCTGCTGGTTTTCTTTTCAGGAATTTTAACATATTCATAGCAGCAGAATTGAAACAGTAGAGAACTACAGTTCTCTATCCAATTAGGGATTAGCTAGTTCATGTATTCAAAAGCCACTACACATTTACAAAAACAAAACCAACAAAACAATGTTGTACGGAAAAGGGGGCATTATGTAATTAATCTGTTCTTCCATGTTTAGCGTATGAACATTTTCCCCACTGAGATGCCGGATTTTGACTTGTTCCCAGGGTATGTGGAAATCTTTTCATAAGAGGGCTTAACATAGAAATTACTTCTTGTGTTAAAATCCAATTTTTCCCCTGAATAGGCAAAGACAGGAAAAGGGGCCACAGCCGAAGGAAACGCTTTATAATAACCTCAGGACATCTTTATGGGTGAGAAACTAAATAGGCTTGTTCTGACTTTTTATTTTCCTATAACCTCACCTTTGTATTTTTCCTAGCCACTATCAGCACTGAATGGCTTTTCTGATTTTATTTTATCAATATATCTTTTAGAGACTTACGCATTCACTATCAGCTTCATTTTAGAAAACAGAGATAGGGATAATGCTCTGGTAAATCTTCTCTGTCCTGGATGCAATTGGTCAACTTTTGCAAGTATTTATTATTGCTGATGTATATGTCTTATGTCTAAAGTTGTTTCTAAAGTGTTCTAGACTGAGCAGACCATTAGTGAAAAATTATTGAACACTCAACACCTCAATATATATTTAAAATCATATAAATGTACTAAAAGCTTAATTCATTGTTTTTAAAGCTTCCAAATCATTTAAAATCCATATACCATAAAATTCACCCCTATACAGTGCACAATTTAGTGGTTTTTTTAAAAGTATATTCACAAAGCTGTACAATCATCACCACTCTCTAACTTGAAGATATTTTTATTATCCCCGAAAGAAACGCTATACCCATCAGGAGTCACTCCCCACTCTACTCTCTCCACAGACCCTGGCAATGACTAATCTACTTTCCTGTCTCTATGGATTTGCCTATAAAAATATTTCATAAAAATGGAATTATACAATATGTGGCCTTTTGTGTCTGGCTTCTTTTTACTTCGCATATTTTCAAGGTTCATCCATTTTGTAGCATGTATCAGTACTTTCTTTTTTGTATTTAAATAACATTCCGTTGTGTGGATATATACATTTTGTTACTGCATTCATCAGTTAATGGATATTTGGGTTGTTTCCACTTTTGGTTATTATGAATAATGCTGCTATAAACATTCATGTGCAAGTTTTTGTGTAGACATATGTTTTCAATTCTCTTGGGCGCATACTACGGAGCAGAATTGCTGGGTTGTGAGGTAATTCTATGTTTAACTTTTGAGGAACTATCAAATTGCTTTCCAAAGAACCTATCCCATTTTGAATTTCCAGCAGCAATGTATGAGAGTTCCAATATCTCCATATCCTCATCAATACCTTTTTTATTTTTTAAATTATAGCAATCCTAGTGAGTATGAAGTTGTATCTTGTAGTTTTTATTTGAATTATGACTAACGATGTTGAGCATCTTTTTCATGTGCTTATTAGCCATTGTATATCTTCTTTGGAGAAATGTCTATTTAGATCCTTAGCCCATTTTTAAATTGGATTATTCTTTTTATTGTTGAATTGTAAATGTTCTCTATATATCAGGATATAAATTCTTCATCAGATATATGATTTGCAAACATTTTCTACCATTCTGTCATTTTTTCCACTTCCTTGATAATATCCATCAGAGCACAAAAGCTTTCATATTTGATGAAATCTAATTTATCTATTTCTACATTTTTGTTTTTGGTGTAAAATCCAAGAAACCATTGCTTAATACAAGGTCATAATGATTTATGCCTATCTTTTCTTCTAAGAGTTTCATAGTTTCAGCTGTTACATTTAGGTCTTTGATCCATGTTGACTTATTTTTGGTATATGGTGTGAGGTAGAGGTCCAACTTCTTTCTTTTACATGTGGATATCTAGTTGTTCCATCACCGTTTCTTGAAAAAATTATTCTTTCTCCATTGAAATGTCTTGGAATCCTTGTTGAAATTCAATTGACTGTAATCTTAAGAGTTTATTTCTGGATTCTCAATTCTATTCCTTTGATCTATATGTCTAACCTTATATCAGTACCACATTCTCTTTATTACTGTAAGTTTGTAGTAAATTTTAAAATTGGGAGTGTGAGTCCTCCAATTTGTTCTTTTTTTCCAAGATTGTTTTGGCTATTCTAGATGCTTGTGATTCCACATGAATTTTCGGATTAGCTTGTCAATTTCTGCAAAAAGGCAGCTGGGATTTTGATAGGAATTGTGTTGAATCTGGAGATCAATTTGGGGAGTACTGTCATCTTAACAATGTTAAAAAGTCTTCCAATCCATGAACACAGGATGTCTTTCCATTTATTTAGATCTTCTTTAATTTCTTTCAATGATATTTTATAATTTTTAGTGTAAAAATCTTGTACTATTTTTGTTAAGTTTATTCCTAAGTATTTTATTCTTTTTGATGCTATGGTAAATGAAATTGTTTCCTTAATTTCATTTTCAGCTTACTTATTGCTAGTGTATAGAAATACAATTGATTTTTATATATTGATTTTGTATCTTGCCACATTACTGGACTCATTTATTTGTTCTACTAGTGTTTGTGTGTGTGGCTGAGAATGCCTTAGGATTTCCTATATACAAGATCATGTCATCTGTAAAAGAGATAGTTTTGCTCTTCTCTTTCTTATCTTTTCTTTTTCTCACCTAATTGTCTTGGCTAAAATCTCCAGTACAATGTTGACAAGAGTGGACATCCTC